CCTTCGCCCAAAAGCAGCATCAAAAGTTGGTCCTTATGAACTCCTTTCATCACATCTATGCTGTGAGCCGATATGATGTCAACTGCTCTCTTTTGATCAGCTCGAAGCTGAAGCGAATCATCCTCATGTCGGGTTGCAACCTGAGTGCTACCAGTCAGGAGTTGTACACTGCCTTGGGAATTGGCTGAGTTTGTTCCGGATATGATGTTTACAGAGCCAAGGGATTCTGGTGTGCATATGTCTTGCTCTGCGTGTGTAGCAGGTTGGTCTGTTATTGCTGATTTCCATATAGCTAGTCTCTCTCCATTGCCAACAGCAACGCAATTCTCAACATCGATTTCCCATCCTCCACATTGCATCCCAAAAACATTGGCAGCCTTTGCACACTCGACAGCATGCAAACCATGAATAACCTCACGCGTAAGTTGTTGGTTACCAACGAAAGCCTCAAGATCCTCTTTGCTGAGCTCGCCAACTGGGCCTTTATTGCTCTCACCCACTTCTTCACCACCATCGGAATCATCGTCCGCATCAATGGAAGGCTTTAGTTCCCATTCTAGGTGCCTGTGATCGATTTGCTGCTTCCTTGCAATCATAGTAGATGTTAGAACCGGCAGATTTGGACAACTCCGGAGTGGAATCGGAGACTTAGCATGGAAGGACCTCGGCCTCAGTGACTCAGGTGGAGCGCTGTGCCATTGCTGGTTGTCCTGGGGGTCCCTAATTTCGGATCTAGCAGAGGGAAAGTCTCTTGGGGGGAATTCAGGTTGATTTTGGACTGAGGTTACAAGTTACTAGGTACATTGTATATAAGGAGGGGTCCGGAATCAAAAGGAACAAGGGTAGGACAAAAGGAGACAAAGGGAGATGGAAAGAGGAACAACACCGAGGGTCAAGGGTTTGACTCAATGGTGTTTCCCAAAGGAGGAGTGAAGGGCCAAGGCCCAAGGAGGAAGGAAGGAGGTTGGGAGTGGGGAATGGCTAGCTGACTGAATAGAAAGGAAGCAGCAGCCCAAATAGGAATGAGGGAGAATAGCGGAATTGAATGGAGCAATGCAATAGTTGCAAGGTCCGACATAAGTCCGGAAAGTCCGAACTCGGAAGTTAAACTCCGGAATATTGGCAAACATAATTAAATGGAATGAGCTAACCAATACAATGGGTATAAGCGGAGGTGGGGTCAAAGTCCGAGGTTGGAGCTAAGACCGGAGGTTCTGGAGACAGAGATGCGAACGGGATTCCGGAGCGGAGGTCTGGAGTCGGGAGCATAGGTTTTGCGTACTCGTCTGGAAGGTGTCGAGGTTGAGGTCGGACCTGGAATGTTCCGGAGTCGGACCGAAGGTGGTGTCCGAGCCAGAGGTGGGATAACCTCTTGGGAGTCGGCAAGGAGAAGGTGATGGAAGGGAAGTAGGGCTCTGGAAGTCGGAGTTCCGAGTTCTGGGAGCCCGGAGCAGAGGTCGGGATTGTATGGATATGACAGTAGAACTGCGCATTTGCGATCATAGCGACTTTGTGGTGTCCTGCTGTCTGCAGGAATAAATCGTAAGCATCTTCCCATGTTTGCTCTGGTGTTTTGAGAGTGCTGATATCCTGCCACAGCTTGAGGAGGCAAAGAATAGAAGCTCTGTGCCCATCTGCCTGCTCAGGATCGTCTGAAGAAGGAATCCACTTCCCAACAATATTGGCGATGGTACGATGACCTTTTGTGCATACAACACGTATGTGAGTTCCATTCTTTGGATGCTTAGCATGGTACCCGCTACGTGGGTTTGCAGGTCTTCCAACTTGCTTAGCAGATCCGCTTTGAGTTCCACGGAGTATGGACTCGTTGTCGCGGTTTTCAGGGGTCTCGTAAGTATCCGAGATAAATTCAAGGAGGGACAAGTCTTCCAGCTCATCACCTCTCAAGGTGTAGTCATCTGCCTGTGACCTTGTCACCAAGGTCCCATCGGAGGTAACACCCAATGTCAAGAGCTCCACATCTTCATCTGAGCTTGGAGAATCCTTAGTTACTTCTGCAGATGGGGGAAGTTCCTTGCTGGCTTCTGTGTAAATGCATGTCGCATCGTCGCCATTGCTTTGTGTGGCCTCAACTGTTGACCCTTGATCGCATGGAGGTTGGCTAATAATTAACGGGTTTGTCAAAGATTTTACTTCAACCTTTATCATTCCACTTACCATGATGAGTATCGTAGCTCAGGCCATTGACGCAATATCAGGCACGAAAATGAGGTCCAGTATAATGGAACATAGTAGTGGGATTTGAATGTATTGCCCCAACCCATAAGGTATGCCATCACCTGAGGTCCTGACTGCTGCATGTCCCTATTGAGTGAATTTATGCAACGGAACACCAGTTTACGGTTTTGATCACGGATACTACTGGTACGCTCATCCTCGGTGAAGTGGTAAGTGAGCCTCTGTGCCAATAGTGCCAAGCTGTTTGCTAACTTTGTCTGGGCTTTTGTTGCATACTTGGTGATGTACCAGCAAACATTCTTTGTATCTTCCCCATTGGTGAGGAGCTTAATATCATGGTTGCACCGCATGAAAACCAGGAGGTGAGGATTATAATTGTTCACATAGCCATATGTGCGTTGGGTCTTCCAGTTGCCACTTTGGTCTACTACGGCACTATCAGATAAGGGAAATGGTGCTCCACATTTACATCGCAGTTCGTGAGTGTTCCAATCTTCGCGAAGGCATAGGTTGGCTTTACATGTGTGGATTTGACAGGAATGCATCAACCGTCTTTCCAGTGCAATGGCGAGGTTGTGGAAATCAGATTGGTAAGGATGAGGAGGGCGACAAAATGCGATGTCCTTTTCATGTTCCATTGCCTTCATCGTGTGCTCATCCATACCAGGAAGGTGGGCCCGGATGTTTGCCTCTATGTATGCTTTCATTTTGCTGCGGAAATCTTCTGAATGGAATTTTTCTCGAAGCTCGTCTGCACTTGGTGCATTTTGTAACCAGATTATCATGTGAAGATGCAGAGTCCCTCGGTTTTGACACTGGACGATGCCGATATATGCCTGGATATAACCCAGTATACCGCATTTTCGTTTAATGTGGTGCTGTGCAACAGATATCCCCAGCAGTGTGCTCAACATTGTTTGAATCATGAATTGGAAAAACTTTGCTGCAGTGTAGGGATCACTTGCAATTGCCTGCTCATGTTCGATTGAGTTGCTCATGACTTTGTCTAGGGCCTCCAAATCAATCTCCTTCCCTACGAATAGTTGTGCCAGTGGATCATGAATATCACTTGGGTTGACAGTCAGCCAGATGCTAGGAGGTCCATGCTTCAGTGTCGTGCTCCACACTTGGCTGCGAATTGCTGCACGGGATGAGTCTGTCCCCATTATGCGACTTGCGGACACTCGGACATGTTTCATTAGCCACTGTACCCTGGGGTTTGAGATTTTGATACCCTGGGCCTCTTCACAACTTGCAGCTTTCAAGTCATCGATGGTTACCCCAGAGAGCATAGCTGTGTCAGTGACAAAATCCTTCCTTCCCATCTGAATTTTTGCAGAGGCCAATGCCTGACATCTTTGCTCAATACGGAATGCCACGAATGGAAATGAGTGGTGAGTACGGAACCGGCGTGAATGATGCTGAAGGCAGCAACCAATATGTTCCCTGAATGACACCTTGACTGGACGGTGCTCTTCAATCCCACCTTCTCCATATGGGAACAGGACTGGGAAAGCGAATGCCCAAAAATTGAATTTGGGTATGTGATAACGAGGGTCTGATGGCACTTCGTTGACTCGCTGTTTTCCGAAGTCGTTTACCAACTTCTGTCAGGGCCCGGCCCTCGTTCCGTGACGGGCCCAAGGGGATCCTCCGAGTCGCTGGGGTATCTAGTCCCAGTCCGAGGTCTTCAAACTCACTGAGGGGGCTAGCCCCAGCCTTCACAGGAAATGAGTTGCTGCACATTTAGGAAGTAGCTTAGTTACACTTGCCTTCACAGGAAATGAGTTGAGAAGAAGGGTAACCTTCTCAACCTCCTGTGAAGCCGCTACAAATGGGAGCCGGGAACTATACAGTTTTCGGCTCTTTGCCGACTTTCCATAATTGGCACCCCCCCGTGGGAAGATTCTGGGCGAGCAGCTCGCCCAGAAAGTTCCCACGGTTGTGGCTGTGATGGTTTCTGGGCGAGTAACTCGCCCAGAACGTTCCCACGGTCTGCATGCATGCGGGATTGTGGAACAGTGAAGGGAAAAATAGGAGAAAATGGGGGAAGGGTACCTGAGGGTGTGTGGGGTCAGGGGCTGTGCCCTGACAACTTCCACCCATGTCAAACAGTGTATGGCTGCTCTGTCTGGGATTCTTTGGACAGGTTGGTGAGTCCCTCTTCAAGTAGATCAGATATGGATACTGCTGTGAACTCAATTTGGCTACTGCCAATATACTGTAACGGAACAATGTCCCCTTCATCTAACTTCTGGTAAGTTTTGTATCGAAATATTGAACATCGGACACACCATACTGCTTGTTAGGTGGTTCAGCCCCCTCACTAATGTTGTGTCAGGGCAACCACACCTGACCATACAACCCCAGAACCACCTTCCCTAACCTCCCCCCACTTCCCTCATCCTCCCATCTTTCACAACTACAGCCCGCATGCGAACCCGTGGGAAAAATCACGTGGGTCAAGGCGAGCAACTCGCCTTAACCCATGTGACACCTTTTCCGCATCACGGGAACATGCTCGGCTTCTACCCATAGTCATGCTACGAACTGTACAGTACATTTCCTTTTATAGCAGCCAAGCGGGGAATAGGGAAACTTACCCTTCTTCTCAACTCAATCCCCGCTTAGGCAAGTTGTAGCTACCCTCCTTAATACATGACAACTCAATCCCCGCTTAGTGAGTTTGAGGAGCTTGGGATAGGATCCGGCACCTGGCTGCCTGGGACACCGCGAGTGTCCAGCTTTGAGGTAGGGCCGCCCCCGGACGGAGGCCGGGCCCTGACACGTTGCCATGGTCATCACTGACTATACCAAACAAGAAGGTGAGATTCAAGCATATATGATTCGTGCTGTAAACTCACAATCACCAGGCACATGGAGTCATGCTCCCGAAGCAGAATATGGGAACTTGTCTCTTGACGCATGCTAGCCAATATCTCAAGAGGCACATCGTCTTTGGGTAAAGACGCCATTACTGCTTGGTCTACTGTATACTCAGAGAAGCATTTATTATGCTCAATCAACCATTCAAGCGCCTCCAACACTACCCTTCTCCAAATGCGAAATGTTGATTTAAGCCAATGCTTTGGGAGATTGCTGACTCCAACATACGTTCCTGATATAATCGAGGGAAGTATCTCCATCGGCCGTGGCAACATGTGTCCTTGGAGCATACTGAAAATTTCGTCGGTGTTCATAGGGTAACTTGTCACATTTCCATGCAAGCCTGACTGTAAGCATGTGGGATCATCCTGGGCTCCACCTTTGGGGTACATTTTGAAAATGAAACAGTGGGGATAAATGGGCGAAAGTAAGAGCTGTTCAGGAATTGTGAGGCAAGAGAGCTGATGAGGTATATTGCCTATCCACATTTTGTTTGATAGGGAATACCGCGGTATTTTATCGCGATGAAGATCTTGAAGACAGGCTCCACACAATGTCGCACTACATTTCCCTTTGACCTCGATGACTCCCTTCTCCTCTAGTAGCATGCCAGCAATAAGGACCTGAGCTGGATGTCTGTCCTGATCTGCTGGTTGTAAACGGCCCGCATTTGGAATATTCCTGACATTGACCACACTGCACTCGTGTTCCCAGCAGAGTAGTGCACATACAGCGCAAACAGCCTCTCGAACTGCCGAAGGTGAGATAGCTTGTAGGAACTCTGCTTGGCAATCTCGAAGCTCATTCTGGGATGGTATATGGAGGAACTCAGGAGAGGTAGTGATGTGATTATTGTTGACTATGGAGGGGAGTGTTATTTCATCTGACTTGTCCATGGTATCATCACCGTTGATGCCGGCACTTGGTCCAGAGTTCTTCATTTTCTTCCTTGGTCCTTGAACTGGCAAGTCTGATTTTCTCTTATTTGGCAAAGCTGCATTCTTTTTGCAATCACGACGTTGCTCAAAGATAACTCGAGCATCCTCATGAAAGGTTTGTATCAAAGACACCATCTTCTCACGCTTCCTTCGAGCCGCATCTGACACGTAGATCTGATACTCTTTGCAGATTGCAATGATTTCTGCCAGCGTCAATGGCGAAAGCCAGTCCATCATTGTGTAGTTGAAGAGTTGCCCCAACGACTAAGTGCCAAGTGAGTAACTATGCCAATGAATGTCTATCGGATCAGTCGCTTTCGACAATGTTCTCTGACAGGTCCATTCTCTCATTCTGGACTAGTTTCCAATTGATGCTTCAACGAATTCCTGAAACCTATCATTCATAGTTATTAGTTTATTCACCAACACAATCAAGGCTACCATTCAGGTATGTCACTTACAAATCTCTTCTATAATGTTCTCTGACAGCTTTCATCCTGATTTTGACTAGTTTCCTCCCACCATACTTTGTACCGGGTCCATCACTAGTACAATTCAGTCTTGACAATGCTTCGACTGATTCCGAACACCTGTCATTCACAGTTATTAGTTTATTCAAGGCACATTTGTGGCAACATCAGGTCTGTCACTTATATAATCTCCTCTATGACGTTCTCTGACAGGACTGCTCGGTTTCATCCCAATTTTTACTAGTTTCCTCCCACCGTACTTTATACCAGTTCCATCACTGCTGTGATTCACTCTGGATGAACCTTCGACTGGTTGCTGAAACCTATCTCCCACCATACTTTGTGCCACATTCGTCACTAGTGCTATTCACTCTCAATGATGCTTCAACTGATCCCTTGTTGTTATTGGTTTAATGATCTCACCGCATGTAGCCCAGCCAGCGCATGTGTGGTCATCAGAACTTCCGAGGCACCCCAATGCTTCTAACCATGCCATAAATTCGTATTGGTATTGCTCGACTCGAAGTTCGTTACATTATTTCATCCCACTCTTGCTCTAATTCTCATTCAGTCACCTTTTCAATAGCGTGTATCACAGAGCAAGTACTGCATCACCAATAATATACTCATAGTACATGCTCATTTGGCATGCAACAGAGTATAATAAGGTCCAACGACTAACTTTGCCACTTCCCCCACCTCTCAGTGACGATTATCGTGACCTTTCTTGATGACCTCTCTTCCCACCAACAACGAGCTCCATCAGTGTCTTGCTGGTCTATACCTTGGGGGCCCGAACATCACATCTAAAGTTGAATGGATATATGCAAAGGCTCGCCACTGCCATGTTCTCTGTGCTAAGGGTGCCGATAAGTCAGTGCTAAACCCAACACCAGCCACCTTCCACGGCATATTCACTGTTTCCCAACATCCATTCAAGTTAGTCCCAGATGGCGGATTTCAGCAATCGACTGTGACGATCTATTTTGGCCATGTCTCACTCCAAGAGGCGATGGCCAGAACAAATGCCTGGGCACGACTTGAAAGAATCATGGACGAAAGCTTGCTGGGATACAAAGATTTCCCCACGTACATCAAGAACCTCAAGGGCTTAGAAAAGCTAATGCTGGGTGGTACTCATCACCATTACTCCTTAGTCAATGAGGAGGGTGCAAACGCACCTCAGATCAAGGTGATTCATAGAATGTTTGAAGTAAGTTCCATATTTGGTTATACTGCTTTAGTCGCTGAGAAAGCTATCTTATAGTCGTGCTGGGATAATATTCATTTGCCAGCTACTCCTCAGCAGGAGTATGAGAGTACGTGTAGCTATCCAAGTCTAACGCGCAACGACTCTGCATAATAGCCAAGTCCAAAATGCGATACAAGCTTACTCCAGGCAATCACGCAGTTGCATTAAGATTGGCTAATGTGAGTAAGTACATAATCCATACTCAGACAAGCCACAACTCAACAGCCACAGCAGACAGTCCTCGGGTCCTTCAGGACAAAACTGCGGAAACTTCAGGAGAGACTGAACATCCTGAGGTGGAAAGGGAGCCCAGCACAACGCCAACGGAGCCATGCACCACAGAAAACAAAGGCAAAGGTGAGTATCTTCATTGGTAACACACTAGCATTTCATTGAGTAAAAAAATTGCAAATGCAGTGTTGCTGGAAGATTATAACAATGATGATGGCGATGACAGTGCTGACAGTGATGATGATTCAGGTTTGTTCCTTTAATCACTTGCATATGTTCCGTGGATGAGCTGACCATTTTTTGCGGTAGTTGACGGCTTCTTGGCTCCCAAATTTGGCTTACAGCATTGGCCTGTATCACAGGAAAATGTCCCAGTGTGTGACAAGATGTTCGAGGAGCGAAGATGGCAAACCAATCCTTTACGTGTGTATCATGAAGGAGATGGAGTCATCCCACCAACAGACTATGCAAGTGCTCTCCCAGGAGCGACTGTGCAGATTTCTTTCACCATCGCCTGCCACTTAATTGGAAGCTCGGAGGGCAAAAAGGCAACTTTCTCTGCACGCATCGAGGAGATTATTGTCCTCCGACCCCCGACCCCTCTTGTCAGCTCTCGCACTAACAATGGATCCCCCTCGAAGCACCAGTTCTCAGGTCCATCTTTTTCACCTGTAAAACGCCGAAAGCTCGAGAAAAGCTCTGTCGATGTGTTCACTGCAAATTAATCATCCCTTCCATTCCCTCCCGTTATAAGTAATTTTGTAGTATTTTCAGCATTTGTCCTTTGATTCAACTCACTTAGTGTTATCGATGTCACCTAAAACACTGATTCAACTCAGAATGATTATTATATTTGACTATATGTGTGAACACTGCTGTGAAAGACACAATTACTAGACTGCAATGCTAAGATCTCTGCTTCTGATTCAACCATGCATGGTCTAATATGCGTTCTATAGATAGAGGATGACGGAAGATGGCAGGGTCATGTGATGTGCAAGCAAGGTCATGGTTGCGAAGCAACCTTTCTAGTCCACAGGTGCTCCTTGATGAGGAGTTCTGCATAGGGGGGGTTGAGGTCTTTAACTAGGAAGCCCCAGGGTTGGGCATACTGCAGGTGGTTCTTTTTCCTCACTTCAGCTGGGAAGGGGGGGATGACTCTTACTCTTTTAGTTTGGTCTGGGAATGCTCTATCGATGAAGATCTCCATGTCAGTCTGGAACTTGTGTTAAAAACAAGGTGAGGGCGGATGATTTGGGAGGGGAATCAGAGACTTAGCAAGGAGGACCTTGGCCTCAGTGACTCATGCGGAGTGCTGTGCCATTGCTGTTTGTCCATTTGGTCCTTAATTTCAGAGGCATTGAGCAGGAAGTCTCTAGGGGGCATTTCAGGTTGATTTTAGACTAAGGGCCTAAAATGAGTATGTACAAGCGCCGGTATATAATGGGGGGGGCAAAAGCACGAGGAAACAAAGAGGGTCCGAATCGGAACAAAGGCATCTGAATGGGACAAAGGGGAAAACAAAAGTGGAGTGGCACCAAAGGTCATAGGTTTAGAACCTGTGGTACATCCCAAAGGAGATAGGGAGGGTGCGAAGCCCAGAGGGGCAGGAGGATGAGGTGACGTGGGGAGGATGACTAACTGGCTAGAACGGGAAGAAGCAGCAGTCCAAATAAAGGATGAGGGAAAAGCGCAAAAGATACATTACAAACGGTGAAAGTGCTGAGTATGGTCTGTGAAGCTCGGAGGTTGTGGAGCTTACGGAGTTTATGGAGGCGGGGTTGAAAGTCTGAGGAATGTTGGCAATGGTGTTTATGTGGTATGAGGTCACCAATGCAATGGACTTAAGCCCAGGTGGAGTCAAAGTCCGAGGTCGGATCTGTGACAGAATCTCGGAGCGAAGGTACAAGCGGTGTCCGAGTACAGGGTATGGGACAGCAGTGGAAGGTCGTAACTTGCCGGAGGTTTGGTGGAAGAGGGTCAGAGGGAGGAGAGAGAAGAGAGGAGCGGGTGGAGGAGTGGAGGAGAGGAAAGGTGTCAGGTCCGAAGGTGAGTATCAGAGCAGATGGGAGAAGGGTAGGAAAGTGATGGAAGGGTGGAGGTGTCATGAGGAGTAAGAGGAGTAGTAAGAGGAGTAGTGAGAGGAGGAGGGTGGCGAGAGGAGTGGTGTTCCATTTAGAACGGACAGTGGTAGGGTAGGACTCCGGAGGTGGGGGAAATGGGGGTCCGGGAGTCGGTTCGGGATTTGGTATGTATGGATATGACAACTTGCATGCATTTTCTTCATTGTAGGTGGCATCCAGTGGTAAGACTAGGATGGCATCTTTGGTTAGCATCCATTCATTCACTCTGGTGGGGTTAGCACCGTCTAGGAGACTGGTGGGGCGGAGTCCATGTGCTACAAAATTTTCGAGGTCCTGCCTGAGGCCCATCCAGTTATAGTCTTCATTTCCATCCTGTGGTTTCTCAGCCATCACTGTTTCAAACATTGCAAGGTCCTGGGCATTGTTGGTTTCCTCGGTTTCGGTGTTAGGGCAGTGGGCTGGGGGAAACTCTTTTGGGGCTATATATTTGGTAGGAGGAATGTGCCATTTGGGGTAACATCATTGGGAACCTCCTGGGCAGTAGGCTGGAGGGGGAGTGTGCAGGTGGCTTTGAGCTGAGTCTGTTGTGGAGGTGGATTCTGGGGGGGGGCCTGAAGGGGCCTTGCATTTTAGTGGCCATTGGGGATCTGGCATGTTTTCTCACATCTAGTTGCAGAGCAGCCTCGAGGAATCTGGCAGCCTTTTCAATTTTCTTACCCTTGTTTGTTAGGGGGCTTGGGGGGTTGTTGGAAGAGTCCTGGGGCTCATATAGGTCTTCATTGACATTTGCTGGCTTGGTAGAGGCAAATTGAAATGGTATGTTTGCAGCATTCTCCATGGTCAAGGTGGTGATGGGTTTTAATTTTTGGTTGAGTTTTTTGTTAGAGAAGAGGGCTTCCAGCATGGGTTCATCTTTGGGGGTGAGGGGGACAGTGTCAAGAAGACGTTGTAGGCAGGATAACCTACTATACCCTACACTGCCAATATTTTCGCGGTTTTACGTTCCTTAAGGATTTCCCATATGCAATGATCACCTACCAATGCCAATGGTGCATAAGAACATTTTATTTCATTTATTATGGAGTACAATTGCACATAACGCGCTGGTACTGAATTGGTCCAGCCCAAAAACTATTCTTGGCACTACTGGCCACCAAAAAACGATCAAGGGCTCAATAAATAGAGAAAAATCATAACTATGGATTCCCCAAATTTCGTCCAGATCGACCCAGCCGTTGTGGAAGAATGGTGGTGATGATTTATCACCTTACCGCGAGGTTCCGCACAATGTCGAAAGGCACATGAGGGTGGCAGTGTCGAAAGTCCCATGTGGCGGAGCCGAGATCCATACTTCGGGAGATCGTGAAACTGGTTTTTGGCCCAAAATGGAAATCACAAGCTGTACCGAAGTAAACAAACAACCAAAATGCACTCCGGAGTGCTCAGAGAAATTCAGAAAAATCACAAAGGATGCGTATGAAGATCCAATTGACATGGGGACTCTCGCAAACACTTTCCAGGATGTCTAACCCTGCGCACGGGCCAATTTTACGATTCTCACGCCTGCCACTTGGTCAAATCTCAACCATTTGGGACAAATTTAGTATCGGGAGAAAGCTAGGAACCTGGGGAATTGAATGGAGAGGTGGGGAAAGGATGCTACAGGTAGGAAGAGATGGATGAGTGTAGTGTGATGGTGGAAATTGGTGGAGAAAATTATTAGCGGATATGGCCCGCTTATCACTCCTGTCTTTTTTTATTGAACTTCCACATCCGCCGTTGGACTTATCGGCCATACTTAACGGTCCACATGGTGTCCGTAACAACAATCCTTCATTTTATATTTTTCCTTTCATTTGTTTTTCCACATTATTGCTGTTCCATGTGTTTAAAAGCTTTGTACATGTAGGAATGGAAAAGTGACCTCCCTTTTGACTACAAAGAGACTGTAGCACTGAGAGATCCAAGAAAAAGAGAGAAATTCTAAGCTTGACTCCTTGAGTATTATAAGGAATCCCTGACCATTGTCCAAGATGGACCAGGGGTACGTAATTCTTAACAAGTTTTTGTGATTATTTTTGTTTTGTTAGCAGTTGGACGGAACCTAGGACGAGCTTAGGACATCCCGGACTCCCTCCCCACGAATTTGCTTGCATTTAGGGGGTTAGATCTCTAGCCCGCTTGCAACGTTCCTTGGATAGGTCGGATTGCTATCCAGGTGATGCTGTTGGGTGGAGCTCGGTGTTCCAGGTCGTCCCACGGTGGGTCGGAGACAGACCAGAGGTGGGGTGGAGCTCTGAGGGTGATGGGGATGAGGTGTTAAAGGGACTCAGCTTCAGTGACTTGGAATGGAGTGCTGCACCTGGTAAGTTCTTGTTGTCCCCAATTTGTCAGGGGAGCTGGTGACAGAGGAACTGAGGCCACCAGCAGAAGGGGGCCAGAAGCCCCCCCCTCACTACTTAATGAAGGAGGCGTTAGCGAGGGTCAATCGTTCATCATGCCATTTGTTTGGGTTTTATACCAAGGCATCTCTAGGAGCCTCTGTCACTCAGTTCTTTAGAGCAGCAGACAAGTGGGACGCTGTCACAACCGACAAATCCCAGGGCTCCGTCAGCAGCAAATCAATGCCAATAGACGAACTAATGCCGATAGGGGAATCTGCCTACCCGAAACCCATCCTAACCAGCCCCCAACCCACTGTCTGGCCCCCTGCTGTATTGCATGAGACTTGGCCAACAATCAGAACCTAGACCCTGCCAGTATTCCGACCTTACCTCCAGTTCCCAAGCCCTTGGTGCTCCTGGCATTCAGTCCCTCCAGTTCCTATGCCTGCCTTGTCTCCATCTGAACCACACTCATTGCTTCCCGCTATGTGGTCACAGCCATGCCCTGCTTCCGTGCATTCTGCACCCTCTGCCCACTCCGTGCCCCCTGCCCATCTCTGCACCCTCTGGCCACTTCTGGTTGCCCTTGACACCTCTGGTCAGGTCAACACTCCCACTCCCCTCTGTACTTCTGTTGGCCTTCATGCTGTCCTTGTGTGACAGTGCTGACAGATCAACCTCTGTTCACCGACTTGTGTCGGCACCGCACCGACCCTGCTTATTTGCAGACCTGTAAATACTTTCAGGGACCTGAGTCTGAAATCAACTAGAGCACCCCCCCTGTCTGGTCTGAATCCCTCCTTCTGCAAAGGGGCTTTCCCCCTTCTGAGTCGGTGCTTGCGGAGTCTGCACTCCTCCTACAGGTCTGCTCTGCTTGCAAGTCTTGTTTGAAGTCTGCTGTAGGTGTCATTCTGTAAATATGGGATCTCCCCCAAACGTCAATCTCAGGGCAGAGCGCTCCACTTGAGTCGCTGAGGCTGTGATCCCACTCCACTAACCTTGAACAGCACTTCCGGATGCACCGCATATCTCCACCTGCATATCCGCATGTGTGCGCTCCAACAGACCTCTGCCAAACATCCGACCCGGACTCAGACACAAACCCATCTGTCTTCAGTCCATCTTCTGACAGCATGTCCGACTCTGACAGTAATTCAGACTCTGACAGATGTGATAGACATCCTGGAGGAGGGTTTGGAGGGCTCAAGACTGTTTATATTATAACTGGGGGAATTATTTACTAGAGGGGTACATGCATACATATAGTGGAAACAATTGGATCTGAAGGTAAACAAAGGTTACCAAGGGGAAGGGGAAGTAAATAGAAAAGAATCCACAAGACAAATAAGGACTAGGCGAAAAGCCCAAATTACGTCTGAGGTTTGTGGAGTGAGAGAATTAAAAGCCAACTGAATGGCAAGGTCTGGAATTGTCTATGAACAAGCAGGGAACTACAGAGAAAGGCGTCCAGAAAGGTCCAGAGCCTGGAAGTTGTAGTCTGGAAGATTGGGGTTGTAGAAAAAAAGATTATCGAGACCAGAGGTAAAATAGGAATATGGGGGGGTACTGGAGGTAAGGAGGTACTGGAAGTGAAGAGGTAATCCTAGGGTCGTTGGCATCGACCAGAGGCAGCAGAGAGAGATTGGGAGGGCTGGTGGAGGTCATAGGAGTCGTATAGGGATAGGGCAGAGGGAGGCAGAAGATCTGGGATATGACAGACAGGGGGTTGAGGTTCACTGGGGGCAAATGACTGTTGGGGTTGAGCTGTGTCAGAGGGGTTTTTCTGGATGGTAACCAAGGATTACCTCCATGACTCCATGAGTCGTTTATGGGGGACACCAAGCTTACTGCACATAGGCTGTGTGGTAGATCAGCGAACTACCTAGTTCTATGGAACTACCTGGTGGATCCAGAGCCCAGCATTGCTCTCAACCCTATTTTGGGGGCTGGACACTCTTTGTCAGTGGCCCTTGGCTCGAGTGTCTTTGCAACTCCTCGCCATGGTGCTACCTGAGCTGTTGTCCCCTGGTTTATCGGTTTTGATGTGGGTTGTACCCTTGTTTGGGTTACTGTCAGGGCATGCTGCACTGCACCGCTCTCTGCCCTCTCTTTCTCCCTCTCCCTCCTTCCTCCTTTCCTTCTTTCTCTCCTCTCTCTTTTTCCTTTCTATCCTTATACAGACAACTTCTCTCTTTTCCCCATTTGTAGCATGGATGCATCCAACACTGAGCACCCTGTATGGGTACTGCGATGCCAAACATGCTGTGCATCCCTACTTGTGTTTTTCTCCTCTTACACTGGGGATAGACTGCGGATGTCATATCCATCCACAGCCATCGACTTCCACTGCCTCCGATCCCTCCGGACTATCTCCGCTCCTTCACTAACCTCGGAGCTCCTGTATTCCACAATCACCTCTGCATCCCTTGATGGTCACCACCCCCTCTTTTCAATTTATTACCTACGCCTCCCTAAGTATGGAGCCCCAAAGGCTTCTGGACAGCTCCGACGTCCACTAGCGCACTCCCGCCTCCGCTGGGCAATACACTCGCTTGCCCTGCAAGCCCACCTTTGGGCCTATCCCTCCTTTCCATTTCTGAGTTATTGCCTATCATTCCGCTAACCCCGTAACCCGACTTGTCGGTAATATTCAATCGGCTAATGTTTAACTCCATTAGCTCCGCTCCACTTGGCCCCACCATTTATGGGCCCGCTGTCAGAGACCAGGTTGAGACGAGGGAAAGTCTCCGTGGCTGAGGGCTTCGGCCTCAGCGACTTATGCCAAGAGCGCTGTGCCAAGTAACACGTCCATGCCCTAACTTACTAACTGGCAACCAGAACCGAAAGGGGGTAACTCTAGTCGATTTTATTACTGAAGTGTAACCTATGTACAAGTTGGATATATATATGGTTACAGTGAAGGCGGGTCCGCAAATGGCAGGTCTGCAAATGGCGGAGCCAAACGGAGCGGAGCTAACGGGGTTAAACATTAGCCGACTGAATATTACCTGACGAGTCGGGTCGCGGGGTTAACGGAAAGGCAGGTGATAACCCAGAAACGGAAAGGAGGGATAGGCCCGAAGGTGGGCTCTGCAGGGCAGGCGAGTGTATTGCCCAGTGGAGGCGGGAGTGCGCTAGCGGACGTTGGAGCTGTCCGGAAGTCTTCGGGGCTCCGTACTTAGGGAGGCGTAGGTAATAAATTGAAAGGAGGGAGTGGTGACCATCGAGGGGTACCAAGGGGATTGCGGAATACGGGAGCTCCGAGGTTAGTGAAGAAGGAGCGGAGGTAGACCGGAGGGATCGGAGGGACCGGAAGTCGATGGCCGGGGATGGATATGACACCCGCCCTCGTTGTAACTATATATACTCAACTTGTACATAGGTTACACCTCAGTAATAAAATCGACTAGAGTTGACCCCCTTTTAGTTCTTGTTGCCAGTAAGTAAATTAGGG